CTGTGGGTGACATGCCTCCATGTCTCCGCAGCTGCTCCTCCCGAGGTCTCTCCCTCAACCCTCTGTCCAGAGGGTGGCTGCTCTGGGGGGGCCTGGAGAGCTCCCTTGGCCCTCAGGCAACTCACCTCCTCTTCTAGCAGGGTCACCATCTTGCACCGAGGGCAAGTGTATCCCTGCCTCTCCTGGGGGAGAAGGGTGAACATGTCGCAGCTGTCGCAGCGGACAGCAACACCTGTGACTCCCGCCAAGGCCATCTCCTGGTCTGCCATCAGTATCCCTTCCGAGACCTTACCTTGGTCCCCTGCCTTGTTTGTCCTGCAGTTCCTCTCACTCGCCCAGTTCTCCCAGACAAAAACCCACTCGCACACACACACAAGGATAAAATAAACTTAAATTTAAATTGGAAGAAAAGCACAGCACAGCACAGCACAAACAAAACAAACAAACCTCTGTGTCTCAAGGAAGGGAGTCTCCAGACGAGGGACGACGCCCTTCCTCTCCGCTGCTCCTGGCCCTCTGCTCCCCCGCCCAGCTCCCACCTCGCCTTCGCCAGTCCCCTGGCCACTCAGCCCTCTCTCCCAGCCTGGGCCTCTGCTGCTCTGCCAAGAGGCCAGAGCCAAAAGGGCTTGCAGTGGCTCAGTGCGGCCATATCAGTCCCTCAGGCCGGTGGCCCCGCCTGTCTGCTTCCTCCTGGCCCCTCTAGCCTCTCTGGCCCCGCCCCCTTCCTCTCTGCTTCTCCTGGTTCTTAGCTATGGATGCTAGAAGTAAAACAAAAAGTATTTGCAAAAAGCAAAACAAAAGCAATTGTAAATATGCAATCAGTGCAGTGAAAAGCAAATGATAAATATCCTTTAATAGCTTGTGATTATTAAGACATTGATAGCCATGTTATGGATAGGCATGTGAATATTAAGACATTGACAGAAAATTGCAAGATGCAGAGTCTCCCCTTCCCTCCCTTCCCCTCCCCTCCCCAGCTTTCTATCTATGAGAAAGTGTTAGTGAAGTTCCATGCACATGAACCTGGGAACAAGGCTCCTTGAATTCAGTAGGACTTACTTCTGAGTAGAGATGTAGGACTTTAAACAATGTAACAGCAAAGTCCTATGTGCATTCTACTGGGTAAGTTCCCTTTAATTCAGTGAGACACAGATAATGTGCAGTGGAAGGTTGGTACATACAGCTACTTTTTAATGCTTGCTCCATTGCAAATAATACACTTGCACTGCTATCCAAACATTAAACTAGCAATGCTTTCTATGACCATGGGGTTGCTTGTTTGCTTGCTTGCTAGCCCACATTACTCTCAACAGACACGCTGTGGTTACCTGTGGTTGGTTTCCTCATTAGTCCCCACAAGTCCTCCTGTTTGCTCTGCACAGGCATCCAAAGTACCTTTGTAGCAGAACTCATTTCCTTGCTCCATTCATAAGTACCTTTCCACAATATGTCCTCTGGGGCTGCCAGCTCCTGAGGACAACTCCCCCCACCATATCAGATGACCAAATGGAAATAATTTTTCAGCACTTATGAATATGGTAACAATGGAAGGATCAGATATCAGAAGGAGCCACATTGAGAATAAGCTACACACAACAACTCCACTACAAGCCATGGATTTTAAGGATGGTTTGTTGGGGAAAAAACAAACAACCCTGGATAGTCTGTACTGGGTTTATATGTCTCGGCAAGCCACACTGGCACTGACAAGCCTCACAACCCACCATGCTTTGTCATTTGTACATCACTGTAAATCGCCCAGAGAGCAGTAAACATCAACAACAACATGCTAAGCCATCCTGAGATTAAGCTATACAATGTGTGTTTTTTTGTGAAATGGTGTACCCAACAGACAATTAAGTTTGCCTTGAATTGTTGGTCCTCTGGTGTCATCTGCAGCAGAACTCATCTTGTCTCTCCCTTCCAAATCACTACTCCTTTTTGTTTACTGCCACCATCATTTTCTTTTTTTAAAGCCTCAAAAATGTGCAATTAGGGTTGTATTTTTCTTCCATTTTTTCAGAAATGAGTACATATGTCACTTGTAACCTTTTTAAAAAAAAGTCAGATTTTAATTGGTGTACAAGATTATTTTTTTGGCTGTCCAATATGGTTGTCTAACCAGTCTTTCCTGACTGATGTCCTTGTAGGTTTCAGTGGTCCAAAGAGGCAAAATGTAATAGGTTCATAGATGGGAAAAGTTGGAAATTAGCAAGTCAAGACTGTATCAAGACTCATAAATGGAGGGCAAATTTGCACTATATTTCCCCTGCATTTCCTTACCAGCTTTGAGATTTGCATATATATCCCAGTCAAAAAAGAAAGTCCAAGTTGACTGCTATAAATGCATACTTGTGCACCTCTGAAAGTCCAACAAAAGTTTTTAAAAATGTGAAGACATTTTGCACACATTTCTGGACTGAAAAAATTAAAAGCAGCTGTTTGGGCATTGGTGGAAGGGCCGTCACTGGAAATGGCATGGGCAAAATCATGAAAAGTGGCAATGGTTTTTGCTACTCTTGCTGAGTGGCCCACTACAACAAGTCGCGCTAGGTCAAACCACTCCTAGAAGAAGCCATGGGTTGCTAGGATGTCTGTTGCCCCAAAATAGGTCACCCTGTGGGAAGCTGTCTGGGTTCGGATGATGTAAGCCATGGCTACTTACTTAGGGTGGGTTGCCATGTTGTATAGACCCAGTCATTGTGTTCACATGAAACTATATTCATGGCCATGACTGGAACACAAACGTAATAACGATTGCTCTATTTTGTTCATTTCTTATTGTTGCAATTAAAAACAGCAGATAAAAAATAAACATGATGAATGTGAAGTGCTAGATATTATAAGTCAGGGGCCCTAAGAAGGAATTACTTATCCGATGTTATATTATGCAAAAGCACATGTGGTGTTTATTTGGGTGATTTCTTCTGTCTCTCCACAAAAACCTCTAAATTGCCCTGGCATTTTTAGGTGGCATCAAGCCACTTTTGGGTTCATTTATTCATGTGTGATATCCAGCATCTTGGAATAATGACAAGCAAGGAGTTTGTGTTGTACAATTTCCAATTTTGCTCTAGACGAAGCAATACCTTTTGTTGACACATGGCTTCAGTTTGATGTGACTCAGCCCAGACAAGACTTTCATCTAGCTTATAGCATTCTTGGTCACTGGCTTTGTATAGCATTTGTCCGGGTTAATCTCTTATTTCTTCCTTTGACTTGCTCTGAATTTGAGTAACTCTACACGGCCTCAGACAGCTTGTCACTGATCAGTTGGGTAATAAGCAATGCAAGCAGATGTCCAAACACCAGAGCACCTAACTCAGTCATCATTTTGCTGAAGAAATATGATTATCGTCAAAGCCTTTGAAAGAAAACTGTTTGACAGTTCTGTTCTATATCCTCTAGATGCCTTAAAAGCAGCCTGCCACCCTATCTTTCTTCTTCTGAGTGACTTCTCACTGAATCTGATAGCCCAAAATGTGGTGCAGAGGTCAGGGATAAAGAGATCAGTGGCTTGGATGAATGATACTCTGTATAGCAGAGTCATTGTACCACTGAAAAATAGAACTATTATGTCAAATGTTTTTTAAGTGACTAATCAAATGAGGGTTTCATCTCAGCTTTTTTTGATCTTTAAACTACCTGTTATGACAGACTGCTTCATTTTCTCATCCACCCACCTCACTCCAGTTCCACCTTGAGAGATGTGCATACAGTGGAAATGATGTCCAAGCCACCTTTTACAGATATACATGCTTTTGTGTTTTTTCACCACTTTTTTTCCTTAGTGCACAACTTGATTAAGGAGAAACAGACGGAATGACTTAGTAATGGCTTCCAATCTGTAGCACAAGAAGCCCTCTCCTGGAAGCACCAACTGTGAAAACTTGCTCATTCTGTCACGATTGTTTTCATGAACCACTGCAACCCTCCAATTGATTATTTTATTCATTTTCTTGTTTTCTGTAAAGAATAGTGAATGTGACACAGGCATAATTTTCATTCCACTTCTGGTGTGGTTTCCCTGTCAAAGACATCTGCCACTTTCTAACTGCCTTACAGTTTAAAGGACGTTTGATAGCCACCTTGCAACAAATTAAGATTGTGTCTTCTGAAATTTTGAGCCTTTGTTTTCTCACAGCTGTTCTCGAGAAGCCATTGGATAAAAAGGCTGGGAGGAATTATGGTCCTCCTGGCACCAAGAAACTTATCTGCTTCATTGATGACATGAATATGCCTGAAGTGGACACCTATGGAACTGTTCAGCCTCATACATTGATCCGACAACATCTGGACTATGGGCACTGGTAAACTAAAGATGAAAGCATCTGTCTGATTTTCATCTAATCCCCATATTTCTGTTCTGTGTCTGAACTGACCTTTGGTTTTTAAAATTCCTCTCAAAATGCATATTTTAATATGCATCCATGTGTATTTTCTCTCAAAATGCATATTTAAATGTGTATTTTGATACATTTAAGCTGCCAAGAACTACACCACAATATTTGGAGAAATGCCAAATATGTTGGATAGTTAAGTGCTGATCCACTTGTTTGTTCCAGAGATGTAAAGTAATTTTGTACACAAAGATAAAAAATAATAATCTCGGTGGAAAGCCTCTGTCTTTAGTAAGGAGCAAAAACAGCTTTCAGGGCAATTTTCAATAGGCTGACAAGAATTTTGGCTCCCAAGAACTTAACAGAAGCTTTGGTTGCTGAAGCAAAGAAAGCTTGGAGTGTAGCAGGGGAACCAGGAGTGTCTTAGTGTATGAAAGGACCATGAGATCAGTTCATAAGCAGAGTATGTACTCAGGGACACCCTGATCCTTGCACAGAAGTCTCCCCCCAATCCCATCCTTTTGTGTCTGGCTCTAGCTGCTAAAACTCCAGGTTCTAGCTGAACATAAAAAGCAAAGCAAACCAAAAGTCTGTTCACCACTGCCCTCGAGCATCGCATGTAAATATTATAAAGGAAGTGTAATGCTGTACCTAAGGTCAAGTCCCTGTTGTACCTGCTGTTGCACAGGCATCTGTGAATTCTAACCTCATTCCCCCAAATGCCACAGCCTCTGTTGGAATATTAATTGAGAACAGCTGGGATACAGCAGGTGCTCTGTTCCCATCCAACATGCTGCTTGAGACTTGGCAATGTCCGCTGCTGTTGGTTTGTCACTAATAGACTGTGATTAGGATGATGCATTCTTTTTTCTTCTGGCAAAGGTATGACAGAAACAAGCTGTCCCTGAAGGAAATCATGAATGTGCAGTACGTGTCATGCATGAATCCCACAGCAGGCAGCTTCACTATCAACCCACGCTTACAGGTATTGCTCGTTCTCCTGGCCAAGAGATGCTTGTTGCTGGTTTCCTTCAGTCTCTGGAAAGAGTAGAAAGATACCTGGCTTGCAGGTTGTTTTTGTTGAGATAGTGCCAATGGAAAGCCTGACAACTTTGAAAGACAATTCATACAAGGTTTGTCACCAAGGAAGCTGAAGCCTAGGCATAAGGAGGAGTAGGGTGGGGCATTGCAGTAGGATAAATGAAACTGGAAAACTGTGAAGGAGTTTAGAGGCTGTTGTGGTCTAAGTATAGCCCAGACATTGCTTTGCTGTTTTCGAATGGCAGAGAGCTCTGTTTGGGAACCAGAGAGAGTCTGTTCTCATAGTGTAGTTCTAGCACAATGACTTTTCAGCACCAAGGACAGTGACACATCTTTTGCCATAGGTCAGTTTATTCTGGCAGAACTTGGAGCGGTATTTGCTCTCATTGCTTCTGCTTTTCTCCTCATTATTTTGTAACACACACTTCTTGAGAATTTCACCATCTACCCAAATCCCTGATTATACTCCTGTATTGATAGGAATAATACTCTTTGGGCATGGAAATTCTTGGTGAATTAACAGGTGGAATTGAAGCTTTCCAGAGCCAACCAAACAGTTTTTGCGGGTGTCTTGCTATTATGACTATCCTCCTCACTTTGTAAGATCCTTTACAGGAGGGATATATGGAATTTTCTAGTTTTTTTT